TCACTGCCTTTGGTTCTGATTGAAGTGTAATTTGTTTTACAGGTAGATGGCAGGCAGCGGGGACCAGCCCGGGTGCCTGCGGCTGTGGGGCAGGGGAGCAGGGCTTGCCCAGATCCAGCCCCCTCTGCCCCCTTCCCCTGCCTTTGAGTGGTTTTTTCCCCAGAAAATCCTGTGGGAAATGCAGACGATGGGATGCTGTGTGTGAGGGCACCTCAGGCCAGGGATGGGGATGGGAACAGGGATGAAGATGGGGACAGGGATGAAGAAGGAGCAGGGCCAGGTCCAGGGCTGGGCTGGCAGTGATGACCAGCTCCTGTTTCCCCCCTCGGGGCCGGTGGCTTTGCCGGCCCCTCCCTGGAGAGGGGCACCAGCACTCCTACAGCCCGGGGTTGCTTTTCTTTCCCTCAGCCTGCAAAGGTGACCAGGATCTATAAAAATCAGAGCATTGCTTTTAAATTTTGTGAAGCCAAGAGGACAAACCCTTTACAGCATCCTCCTTTTCCCCCTCCCTCCATCGGCAGGACCCACCAGTGCTCCTGACATTCGGTTTTCCAGCCCCAACCCCGCCGGCACGGGGCAGCACGCGGGTCCCAGTGGCTCCCGTTCCCACCAGCAGCGTCGGACCCGCGGCCTCGGCCGCGCAGAGCCCCTCGCAGCCGGGGACGTGGCAGGGCCACGCAGCCCGGAGCCGTCGGTCCACGGCCACGTCTTTGCCCGGCTGACCCGACGCTCGGCCCCGGTTGTGGGGGGAGCTGCTCCCTCCCGGTCACCGGTTCCCCCGGGACCCCCTCGCTGCCCCCCCCCCCCCTTCGTATTTACCCGAATGTGTTTACAATTACACCCAGTGCCGAGCTGCCGTGGCTGCCGCAGCCGGGCCAAGTCAGCAGCGGGGCAGCGCGGGGTTGGAGGTCAGCACGCTGTTTACTTTAATTTCTCTGAGAGCTTTTTGGGAGATTTCCCTCCTCCGTTATTAAACTCAGATGAGCCGCTGGGGAGGTTAGGTCGCATGTGGTTCAGGGCACTTTTTTCTTTTGCAATTTTTTTTTTTTTTTTGCAATGTTTCACCCTTAACTCTTTCAGGACAGGTTCCCCATCTCCCCGGGCTGAGCCCGCTGGTGGGACGGTGGCTCCCTGAGTGACCTGTGTCCCAGGTGGGCTAGTGCCCGGGTGATCTTGGCCATGAAGGAGCCCGGCCGAGCCCATCCCAGCATCGCTGCATGGCTGAGCACAACCCCTCCACGGCATCGCCCACGCGAGGGGCCCTGCCCAGGTGTGCACAGCCAGGCCAGCGCCCCGCGCAGGACAGGGCGGGAGATGGGAACTGATGGGAGCCCAGGGAGGGGAAAAATGTGGAAATCTCCCCCAAAACATGTTTCATTTCCTTCTAGCCCTGCAGCCTCCAGCCCGCACGCCTCCCCCCGAGCGCTGGCGTGCACACAGGGAGCGCGCAGTGCACACGCGTGGGCACGCACCGCACGCGTGCACCGAGCAGCGGGGCTGCAGGCAGAACCCGGGGAGCAGCAACGCCGGCACTCGCCTGCTCCTGCACCCCGCAGCCCCCCGGCAAGGCCGCCGGGTCCCTGCCCTCGGGGCAGCCCCTGCGTGACGCCGCAGGCCCTTTATTTGGGCACCCGCCGCGTCCATGACACGGGGCTGACGGCACACGGGCACGGGGCCGAGCGCGAGGGCTCCTTCTGGGACCAATTTTATGCAAAGCCCGTGGCACGTTGCATCGGTTAGCGGGACGCACGGCAGATGAGAAGCAGCCGGCAGCCGGCCCTGCACGCTGGGTGATGGCGGGGAGCGGGGAGCTGGGTTTGAAGGCCAATTTTCACCGTGGCCAGTGCCGAGCTCCCGTCTCCGGCGTTTCCCCGCAGCAGTGCTGGGTCTCTGCTGGTGCGAGGTCCCAGCGGGTGTGGGAGTCCCCTGGGTGCAAGGGGGCTCCTGCAGCCAGGACAGACACCGAGCCCAGGGGAAGGGTGCTGCAGCCAGGCTCCCAGGGACCCGCTTTGGTGGAGAAATCTGGTGCCAGTGCCTTCTGGAGCAGCTCCGGGGGGTCACCCCAGCGCCCTTCTCCCCTCTGAGCCCCGAGGTGCACTGTGCTTATCTCGCCCAGGACACCCAGCTCTGGAACCCTGGCGCATCAGGTCCTGTGCGCAGCTTTCTTAAATGATTTTTAATTTCCTGGAGGGAGAGCTTTTAATTTATTTTGGGAACAAAGTAGTGGAAGGGGAAGATGACTGTGAAATCCATCACTAAGCCCCCTCCACCTCCAAACCTTCTCCTTCCTCCTGTCCCCAAAGGGATCAGCCCAGCCCTCCCCGTGCCCCCACGTCCCCTCTCTCCTGCACTCTGAGCTGGGGATCCCCGCTGGCAGCATCCTTGGGGCGAGGGGCAGCTGGGGCTGAGCTGAGGGGACGGCTGGCTCGCGTGGAAAGGGAACTGTTTTCATTGCAAACAGCAAATCCCTCTGGTCTCCATCAGATACGGGTAATCCCGGGGCTGGGGGTGCTGGGCTGAACCTGAGCTGCGCCAGTGCAAAACCAACCCCAGCGAGACAGACCCCTGCAAACGCTGCTCCCGGCTCCCTCTGTGAACCCAGAACCAACTTGGCACCCCCAAACACGGGGGGAGGATCCCACCAGCACCCGTGGAGCCCCAGCATGTTTTGCAGCAGGCTCCGGCATGCCCGCACCCACTGGCCCCACGGGAATTCCTGGCGTGGGGACCAGGAAAGCCCAGGGAGGAGCAAACCCCACTCCTGCCCCACGAGCCAAACTTCGGCTGGACTTGGAGTTTTCTTTTGCTTGTTGAAATCTAAACAGGTGAGGAAAAAGGCCTGTTTCAGATGGACCTCCCCTCAGTGAGCCGGAGGAGAAGGTCCCTGAACAAACTTCCCTCCTTGCTCTCAGTGACCAATATTTTGCTTTGCTTTGAGTTCAGGCCCCGAACGGGAGCAAAACACAAACCAGCACGAAGAAGCAAAGACTGAGCTCAGGGCAGAGCAGAGCAGAGCTGAGCCCATTGTTTGTTCAAGCTCCTTTTTCTTTCCTGCCCACAGACACATCTGAGTCAGTGTCTGCCTTTCCTGTGTGACGGGAAGGTTTTGTTTCTTTAATCTCAGGCTTTCCTAGGAGGGGTGTGCAGCCCAAGTGCCCCAGTTACAGCTCTCGGTCCTACCCCACTGATTTCTCCTCCATGGAGGTGTCGAAGTCTTTGGGGCTGGAGCAGCCCGGAGCTGGAGAGGCTGCCTGGGGGCTGTCAGGCAGATGGGAAGTTAAAAGAACTTATTTCTCACTTATAGGTGTTACTCCACTGCTCTGAAGCCTTGCAGTGTCATGGGGGAACATCTGCTCTCGGCATTTCTCCCCCATGTCTCACCTCCCAGCAGTTCAGAGCTTTGGAGAGGATCTTTGCCCACCCTGAAAGCACCTTCATCCTCTCCTTCCTCCCCCTCGGGGTGGGTGGGAGGCCCCGAGCCCTCGGCTTTGGACAGGGTGGGCCTGGGGTGCAGAGCCCCTGGGGTGACGGTGCAGTGCTCACGCCACGTCCATCCCCCAGTGGGATGCTGGTGGAGGCCACATCGGGTGGACCCAGCAGGAGACGACACCGTCCCCGCTCGGGGCAGCTCTGCGGGTATCGGGGGGTCTGTGGCACCCCAGCTGCCCCCGCCCCAGCTCCAGGCTGCCGGCCTCGCCGCCGTGCTGTGCATCTCCCCCCCCCAGCCCCCCCCCAACACACATCCCTGCCCCACAAAGCCTCTTTTATCCCCCAAAACGCTCGTGGCGCTTCATGTGACCCCCTGGGCTGGCCCGGTGCTCGTGGGAGCCGTTTGATGTTGATGAGCCTTTTCCTTTCCCAGCACCCCGACACCCCGGAGCTCGGGGGGGGGGGACAAAGGCCCCATTGAGAGCGTGGGTGCCGCCACCCCCCTCGTCCCCACGGGACCGAAGGGGCTGGCGCTAGGACAGAATCCGCGTGTCCAATGCCGGGGCTGTGGGTGGGTGGGGGGCTCCAGCCCACAGCCCACGGCCCCCTGCCCCCTCGCTGCCTTCTCCCTGGGCGGGCTGACGCGGGTGGGAATTTAATTTTCCCCGTTCCCCCCCGCCCCAGGCCGGCCAGCCGCGGGAGGACTCCCCCCGTGGGATGCTGCGGAGCTCCGCACACGCGCGGCACGTATAGAGCTATCTATAGGCGCCGCCGTGTGCGCGCACGCAGCCGCGGCGGAGCGTGGGGGCCCTCGGAAGTGCGGCCGTGACACCTCCCCACGCGGGGCCGCTTCCGCTCCCACCCGCGGCGGCGGTGAGTGCTCGGGGCCGGGGGGCGGGAGGGGGTGGGGACGACACGGGGCGGGTGGGAGCGGGGCGCGGCGGGTCCCCCCTGTGTCCCCCCCGCAACCCGTTGCCGCCCCCCCCCCCCCCCCTCGCCGTTTCCCGGTGCGGCGCGGCGGCGGTGGCTGCGGCGGGGACACACACACCCCCACACACCCCCCCCCGCAATATGGGGGGGGCACTGCAGGTGCAGGGGTGCCCCTCGGCTCGCCCTCCCCCCGGGCTGCGCCCCGCGGCGGTGGGCGCGCATCCTCCCACCCCACGCTCGCAGGGGGTGAAGCTGTTTTAGGGCGGTGTCACCCCGTCCTGGGCAGCGCAGATGGCTGCGGGGGGGGGGGGGGGGGGCGGGGGGAAAGCCCACGGCCACGCACAGGCTCTCGCCCCCCCTCTCCCTGCTGCCAGCCTTGCCCTTGCAAACAGCGTTTGTAGGTCTGAGCTCTCTTCCCGCTGCAGGGCATAACCTGCGTGGGGGACACACGGCCGGGGCCGGGGGGGGGACACCCCGGGGCTGCACTGTGCCGCGGCTTCCCCGCCTGGCCCCCGCACCCCGGGCTGGGCCTGCTGCACCCCCAGACCCCCGGCACCCCCTGAGCCGCTTCCCAGGGCTGAAACTGCGACGCTGGGTGGGTTTTCCTTCCTGTGGCTCTTGTGAGCGTGGCCTTGCCGGGGGGAGAGCTCGGAGATCGGCTCTCACTGCCGATGACCCGGCAAGAAATGTTGGGGTGACCTTTCCTTTTCTGGTCCTGTCTGCTCCCAGTCCTGCAGGGGAGGCAGCAGCCCCGTGGGGTTACTGCTTTGGGCGCTGGTGGAGGCCAGACCCGACCCAGCGCCCAACCTGGGCGAGACGGCAGTTTGCGCAGAGGAGCTCAGCCCATCTTCCCTGCTGAAATAAATTTTATTGCTGCTAGAAAAGCAGCTCCTTCCAAGCAAACCTTTCCCAGCACTGAATGAATTGCATCTACCCCAAGCAGGAACGCTGGCGGAGCAGAGCGTGCCGGCAGCCGCCCCGGGGAGGCCACGGGAACGGGGATTTGGGCTGGAGCTCTCAGGGAGGAGAGGTGGGGATGGGGAGCCTGGCCCCCGGGCTTCTGCATCGGGTGAGAAGTTGCCCCTGGACTCTGGTGGCCAAGGACACGCTGAGAGCAGCGGCCGAACGCCGGGAAAGGACGAGCCCGTGACTTGAGTTCAGTAGCTTTACAGCGAGGGGAATAAGATAAAGGAGAGAATATTTTCTCCGAGTTCTGGTTGGGCCAGCCCGCAAACGCGTTACGGCTCCGCGTCTCTCTTGCAGGCAGGACACCGGCGAGATGTTTGCCGTCTGCCCGCCCGGCGCCGCGGCGAACGCCCCGTTCCGGGGGGGTCCGGCGCTGGGCACGGCCGTCCCGGGGGCCGGGTGCGGGCAGGACTCCAACTCCAACTTCGTGGGAGAGGTGTGTGACAGCAACGAGAACTGGAGCCGGCCAGCGCCAGGGTCCCCGCCGGAGGAGGGCTCCAGCCGGAGCGAAAACACCGCAAATCCATCCGATAATCTGCTGTTATTAATGCAGAGACAGATGGTCCAGGGCCAGCTTAGGGACGCCGCCCCCAGCCCGGGCGCCGTGCGGCTGCGTCTCCCCGAGCCGGGGGTGCGCAGCCCCCCCGAGGGAGCAGAGGTTGGGGGGGCGGGGGGCCAAAACGCCGCCGCCGAGGAGCCGGCCGGGGGATGTGGCAAGCCCCCGAGCTCCCCCGCGGAGGACAACGGCTACGCCAGCAGCTCCCTCAGCATCGACAGCCCCGACAGCACCTGCGGGAGCACCTGGGACCCCCCTGCCGCTGCCCCCCTCCCCGGGAGCCCACCCTCCCCGGGGGCGGCCGAGCCCGAGCCGGGGTCCCTCTTCCCGGCGCTGGTGGAGGCCGTGCAGCACCTCCAGGACAAGGAGCGCTTCAAGGAGCGGGAGAAGGAGAAGCACCACATCCAGCTGGTGATGTACCGGCGCCTGGCCCTGCTCCGCTGGATCCACAGCCTCCAGCAGAAAGTCGTGGACCAGCAGAACCGGCTGCAGGAGAGTTTCGACACCATCCTGGACAACCGCAAGGAGCTCATCCGCTGCATGCAGCGCGGCCCGGCGTGCCCCGCCGGCGCGCCCACCCCCAGCCCCTGAGGTGCCGCCGGCGCTGCCCCGTCCCAGCCCTCGCCCCCCCCGGGCTGGCGCGGGGCTGGCGGCATCCCCGTGCCGCACGCCGGGGCGCAGAGCGCTCGCCGGGTGCCCGCCCTGTCCTTTCCATCTTAGCTGAGAGTCCCCGAAGCATTCGTCTCGCTCGTCCCTCTGCACAGGAATTAATTTTCTCCTGCACCGTGTCGCGCCGGTCTGGGGACCGCGTGGTGCCAGGCTGGCTCAGGACCGTGGGGTTTGCTGAGGCTCAGCTTTTAAATCTGATTCGCGGTCCTTTGTATGAGCCGGGTAGAGCCGCGCGTGTGCCGGGCCGAGCCCTGCGGTGACCCCCGCGAGGGCCTCGGGGCAGCGAAGCTTCTAAATACACGTGGGCAAAGCCCCTCCAGCACGTGCTGGGGCACGAGCACAACGTCACTTCGTGTCCCCCCCCCCGCATCGCACCCGCACCGGCGTGCCCGTACGGAGAGAACCACCGTTAAACATTGCTCGTGCTTTCGGGGCGAGCGCGGTGTCCTGAGCTGTTCCCGGGGACTCGCCCCGGTGCACGGCTTAATGAAGCGCACGTAAAAGCTTTGCAGATAAGATCTAAACTCATGCAGAGAGATGGAGAGAGAGAAAAAGCAAATCATTCTGAAAAGTGACCTCAGAGTGCTTAAAAATGAACTTACGTGTCAGCTGATTCAAATCCAATATATCTTTTTGAATTCAGTATTAGAGAAGAGTTAATTTAGATTTTTCCTTACAGCCAGATTGTATGTATGCACATCTGTCTGTCGTGGGAGATGCTTTAACATGGTGCATGATCAGGAAGCTGCTTGCAAACTTGTGCTGTTGGTGTTTATATTAATTTATCATTTGAAAGCAAAGAGAATATTTTTTTCTAATCTACATTTTACCAGTGAGGACTGCGTACAGAATATGAAGAACGGTCGTCTTAAATAGAGATTAAAAAGGAGACGCTGTGTTTGTTTGCTGTATTTTGCTAAGTGTTAACATGACATGTATTCTATTGAAGTTGCTGATGCAGAAGGAGCAGCAGCGGGGCGGCTTCTCTTCAAGCCGAGGGCTCAGCCGGGAGGGCTCCGCACTCCCCGTCCTGCCCGGCGTCACTTTGCTAAGCCACGCACCGATTTTCTTTCTCGTCTGCAAAAGGAGGGTGATGAGAGATTTCAGAGCTGCCGTGTCCCCCCCCCCCAGGCCCAACTCCTTCCTGCTGTCGGAGGAGCGGAGCCGAGAGGTGGCCACAACCTCTGCGGGACCCCGCTTTGCTGCCGGGGGGGGGCAGTGCCCGGCAGCCTGGGCAGATCCCGGCACCACCGGACCGCTAAATGCGACCGCACCGCGAATAAATAACCACGGCCGAGCCCCGCAGCGACCCGCGAGGAGATCCCGCAAAACTCTGCTTCTGCGAAGGCCGATTTGGTGGCGGAGGGTGCGCTCGGCTCGCAGACACCCGTGCCGGGAGCTGGGGGGGCTCCGGCAGCACCCCTGCCAGGCTCCCCTCCCTCCCGCCCGCGTCCTGCTGCCTCTCTCGTATCCCCGGCCCGCGATCGTGGCCGCGTCGCGCACCCCAATAAAAGCCGTGGAGGTGAAAGAGCCGAACCCCGGGGTGGATTTGTACCTTTGTGGCCCTCCGCGAGCCCGCCGGGCCCCCTGCTCGCCCAAGGGTGCTGCAGTGTGAGGGCGAGGGTGCAGGTCTCAGCACCCTCCTCCCATCGCTGCGTCCCTGGGCAGGCGCTGCCCGGCCACGCGCTGTACCAACACCGGCCGGTTAATTCCTGCTCAATTTAAAAGCCTTTTTGCTTTTAAAAACTCAAGCGTGACCCTCCTCCTGTCTCTCCCCGTGGCCGTGGGGCCGTGGGTGGCTGGGAGCCAGTGCTGGGGTGTAGGATGGTACAGTTCCACCCCGGGGGAGCATGGCTGGGACGGGGTGGGGGGGTCTGGATTCCCCAGGCACCCACTGCCCTGCCCTGCGGCCCCGGCTAATCGGGAGGGCTGGGGAGGCAGCTCCGGGCAGATGGGGAGGGCAGATAAAAACACCTGAGTATTGACCCAAAGGTGACTTTGCCTCAGGCCTTGCAGAGATTAACTAGAGATGAAAAACCAAAGCTGTAGCAGGCCTTTGAACCTTCCTTCACCTTTTTTTTTTCCCCCTTCCCTTCCTGGTTCCCCTTTACAGCCTCTGAATCAGTGGGAATCCGGGGATGCAACAGCCCCTTTTCCAGACCCAGAGGCTGGGTTAGCAATTCGTGAAGAGCAGGGTGGCTGCATTTTTCCACCCTTACATGTTCCCTGCAGCCGGGGCTACCAGGAGGTTTGTCCCCAGCCCTTGGTGGGTTCGTTAGGACACGCGTGTGCTCGTGTGTGTGCTCAGCTCAGCTGCTGCCCGCGGAGCACACGCTCCGGCAGGTTTAGGGGAACATGAGACCCGCAGAGAGACCGAGCGATTCTCTGTTTATCTTGGTCGAATGCTTTACACAAATAATTATTTCCAAGGTAAATATTGTGAAAATCCAGATTATTTGCTCAAGAAATGAAAGAATAACTGCGGGAGCACATCAAAGTGGTGGATCTGCTCTGCAAGCAAGAAGCTTCCTCCGCGGTTATTGGGAGCCCTGGTGCTTATGCCCCCAGAGCTGGTTGGAGATGGCCAGTGCTGATTTGCAAAATCAACTTCAGACAGAGATTTTTCCAACCCCATCTCCGGTGCCCAAATAAGATTTGGGAATTAATTAAAAACCCAACCAACTGCAGGGGGAAAAAAAAAACAATAAAGACACAAAAAGCTGCGAGGCTGAGCCCGGGGGAGCTTGGGGGGAGGCAGGGCCCCGCTTGGCCCCTGGGCACTCGCACCCCGGGAGACTGTAACTCTGCAGCCCCCCCCCACCCCAGCACTCAGCTCCTCTGCAGGGGCAGATCCAGCCCTGTGCAGGATGGGTGCAATGGGCAGGCACCGGCTCGGGGCTGGGGACAGGGATGTGCCCGAGGACCGTGCCGGGGACATCTCCATCCTCAGGGATTTGCAAGCCTCGGTAAATAAGGGGCTGGATGCTCAGCTCGCAGATGGCTAACGCGGCTCTCGGGGGGCTCCGAGGAGATGCTCCGGCTCCGAACCCCCCCCCAGGTCAGTGGGCAGACAGCGTTGCCAGCGGGGTCTGGATTGGGCCGTTGCGTGGGGCTGGGCAGAAGCAGGGAGCTGTGTCGGGGTTGGGGCCCCCACGTCATCGCTCCCCCGGCACGCGGGGGGGGAATGGGCATCGGACCCCGCGGCATGTGAGCTTGAGTTTCCATGCACGGCAGACAGGGGCCTTTGTTTTTAAGGTCTCTTCTGAAAGTTTATTGTTATTATTATATTAAATCCCTGTAACACTGGACTGGTTTTACTGCACAAAGCAAGATTTGGCAAACGTTGCCTTTCTTTGAAAGTTAAAAGACTAGCATTTTAAAAAAAATCAAGTATTTATGGAGCTTTGGAGGGAAATATTCCACCTTGTAATTTGAATCCATTCTAACCCTTTCCAGCATTTTGTGGGCTTAAAAACAAGTCTTTAAAAATAAAATCGAATGATGTGATAACTGATGACATGAAAGTACAAAAAAAATTAATCATCTCGGGCCATTCACATCCAGCGATCCAGACTGGGTCACACTTAAAGCATCCCAGGATCCCCTCTTTATTGTGACTCAGAGACTTCCAGATCTCACATGTTCAGTTTACAGTGGGAAAAGGGCTTTCCCCCGCCCTTGGCTGGCAGGGTGAGCCCAGCTGGGGCCGCTCCCCTCGCCCCAAACACCGTGCCCAGGCAGCACCCAGCGCGGCGAGGGGCTCTGCACCCCCGGGGTCCCACCGTCCCCAGCGCCCGGAGGAGCGAGGCTGCCCAGAGAGATGATCTCAGCCCTTATAGGATCCATATGTGCTGCTGTGCCGGGAGCACCTGCCGCTGCCTGGGAGGTCTGGGCGGGTGGTGGGGGACCGGGGGGGGCTCTGTCCTCGCTGCCCCCCGCCCCGGGCAGGGTTCAGCTGGCCCGCCTGTGGGCAACCGAGCCCGGCGGCTGAGAGCCTTTTCCACGCAGCCCCTTCTCTGGCACGGAGCAGCACGGATCCTGCAGCCCCCTCCAGCCGGCTGGGAAGCACGGATAGGGGAGGCAGTGGGGAAAAGCGAAGGGGGGGCCAGGTCCAGGGCAGGGGTTGGAGGGGACCTGCCCTGCCCCTGCCCGCCGAGCATCGCCCGAGAGATGCCCAGACGCGCGGGCGGGATGCCGTTGCTGCAGAGCTGCTCCCTGCCCAGCCAGGCTTCGCTTTCCTGCAGCCCTGGGTAAGCGGCACCGAGCAGCGGGCACCCGAGGGCTGGGGGCAGGACCTGGGGGGCTGCCCCGAGCAGCCGTGCATCCCTCCTCTTCCAGCAGCCCCTCTCGGCCGCCAGCTCTGTCCCTGCAGTGTTTGGGGACCGTCCCAGAGCCCCGCAGCCCTGGGCCAGCACTGCCCAGGAGCCGTCGTCTTTCCTGGGCGATGAGCTGGGTCCGGTGCGGGGCCGCATCCTGCACCGCGCTGGTTGAGGTGCTCCTGCACCCCACGAGCCTCCGCGCAGCCACCGGCCTGTCACCCCTGCGAAAGCCGAATATAAACCCAGCAGCAAGCTGAGCTTTTCCCTGCCAGGCCAGCCAGAGCGCCGCTGACATTTCAGCTTATTGGGGCAGCAAGTGCGGATTCAACCAAAACTACTCAGCCCTTTCTCTGCCCCGGGTGCTCCGGTGTGTGGCTGGACCAAGATTCACATGATTTCTCAGGCTATTTGCACTCCCAGATATACTGTATTTAATTTTAAATGCATTACATTGGCAGCACACCCACGGGCACCCGGGGTACCCACAGCTCTATCCCTTGCCGGCCCGCAGCTGGAGCTGAACCGCGCTGGGACACGACCCTCCCCGCTCCAGCACAGCCCCAGCTCAGCGTGCAGCTCCTCCTCGCCCTGGCTTGGACATTTCTTTTTTTCCAAACCTCTTTCCCACTTGTCCTTTCCAGCAGAGGCGGGATGGGCAAGACCCCGAGTGCTCGGCTCTGCCACAGTATCTGATGAAAACGCAGTTTGAGCCTGCCTTCTTTAATGATTCCCTTTGAAATGTTGTTGCTTCCGCACATCCCCCTTCAGGGTAGAATATTAAGCAAGAGCAACTCGGCTGGAAATTCAGATTGTTTTCGTGTCTGTTTTCATTTACATTTTAATGATAGAGAAATCTTAGAAATCTGGCTATTTGCAGCACAGCTCCTCAAAAGAAAAGGGAAAAGAAATCACCTGCAACCATCTAACCTTTGCCCTCTGCAAACAGCACCAGGAGCTGGGGATCGCCAGCAACTTTCCGTGTGAAAATGCTCTTTGCCCCCTTCTCCCACCCCGGCAGGAGGGATTGCAGGGGGCAGAAATGGGCTCTTGGGCATTGTCACCGTCGCGGGGGGCTTGGCCTGGGTGCAGCACCGAGGCACGGGCACACCGGGTGCTTTGGGTGCTGGTGAAGGGGCTGTGGTGCAAAGGGGCAAGCAGCTGGGTGCTCTCTGTTCGGGACGGTTGGGTGCTGGAGCCAGGGGTGCTGGGTGCTGCTCCCGGAGCTCCCGGCACCCGCGAGAGGAGGGGGAAAAGGGGTCCGAGACGTGCCCGGGTCTCATCGCCTGCCTTGGACAGAGGTCGGGGGGGATCTTCCCACAGGGATCCAGCCCGCGACAGCAGAGCCCCATCCCAGGAACCGGCTGCACTCAGCGCCTCGCCGGCGGCCCGTGGCTCCTCAGGTGAGGTACGGGGATCCAGGCCTCCCCGAGAAAACAGCTGGGAGTAAAGATCACTAGAAGAGAAGCAATAAACTCTCAGTTATTCTTCTGCCATTGAGGCCAATCAAGCTGCAAAGAGTGCCTCAAGGCCAGTTGTACATCATTATTTCATAGCGCGTTCCCCGTATGATGTAGTGGCTGTCTTGCTGGAGG